GAGAGCAAACCGGAGAGGTGCAGACAACACGGCAGGGCAGCTGGGTACACAACCCTACTCTACAACATCGCTGCAGTGAGTACTACTCCTGGATGCACAAGCAAATATTGGACGAGGTTTCTGATTGATTTCCTCAATGGGGTGAGAAAAAGGAAGAAGGAACATCAATCAAACTCCAACTAATCTATAGCCCCGATTCGGGACTCAAGCTGTCTTAGCAGGCCTGTTGGCACGGGTGGATGGGTAGCGAGCGCACTTGGCTGCCTGGTAATGCCTTCCAATCTCTGCTGTAGAGTAGGTACTCAAGAGTAGCTACATTGCCTGGAAAACGTTCACCAATCGCGCCTCATGAAAAGCCGTATTCAGATAGAATAGGTATGGATAGTCAGATACCTATCTTGATTAGAGCTCTGCAAAGCTTATGCACAGAACATTTGATCGTTGGGTTATGCACGTGCGCATTCCATCTACTCCAAGGAAGAAAGTGCATTTATCCCCACCAGTCTCGAGCGAGGCTTAGTAGGGGTTAGGGTTAGACACTCTGTGCTACTGAGAGGTAATATTCTTCGTGGGAGACCAGAGACTGATTCTAAACATGAGGCCAATATTAATACATACTCAGCCTTGCCCACAAGCTATTTATGACCAGCAGTGGGGGAATATTCTGATCCACCCCAGTAGGCAGTAGGTCATAACTCGGATAAATCTCTTCCGTCGAAGATCTGTGGCGTGTGTGGCTACAGCAGCAGAAATAGAAGGATGATGGGGCCTAAAATACCCCTTACATACCTGAGTACATTACTGGCATAATAGTTGCCTACAACAGAAGCAGATGTTGTAGTATCCCTTGGACCGATGAAAGTTGTCAAATTCGCGACCACACTCTTTCAGCTATCACTAGCCTAATATAGGAATTGTTGGAAATTCTTGATTGGTTCTGTTGTTGTTGCCATCCGTAAAACGCAAGACAATTCCCTTACAAAGTGGTGCACGGTCCAGGTCGCGAATTTGACAACTTTCATCCGTCCAAGGGATACATAGGTCATAAGAAATACCATACTTGGGATAATTATAGATATATCAACCAATAGCAGACTCGAACATGGAGGTGCAATCCGAGTGCAGCAGCTGACTATCATATCTGCTCAACCATTGGCTCCGATACAAACAAACCGTTCCAGTCGGGAATTTCTCAAGAACACCCTCTCCGCACCCAGAATAAGCGGTGCAACACCCACCTCTACCCAACTGGTACGGCTAAAGAGAAGAGTATTCAAGCATCATTGGTATGTAGGTGTTCTATACAGACACATCTGCGAGGTCTAACTGTCCCAAGTTAGTGTGGTGGTCGCGATGGCGGATGATAGTTATTCCTTCCACGCCTCTGGGGTGCATCCCTGCTCGCTTCCTAAAGTACCAGTGATGTGCATAGAGCACCTGAGTGGAGCAGACTCGCACCCTAACCAAATACGTGCAACACTCTAGAATACCTGTCGTCTCCCAATTCCACTCCCCCGGAGACGAGATATTAAGCTCCACCTCTAATATTTAATTTCGTGTCCCTCTCATGCGGGTTAGGGTTGAATACTTGTCACGTTAATCCAGAATTGAGCCTCTACTATTTTGGTAATATACCAGCCCCTCAACTCCCCCCCCCCCCCCCTACTAGCACCGCTCCTTACTTTGTGTGCTGTTCGCTACCCTGGTTGCTGGTCGCTGCCGCCTTTGTAGAATACCTATGTTGTAGATGCCTCAACCCCGTCTTACTGTGCCACTTGCATACAACTGATATTTCCAATGAAATCCCTATATATAGAGTCTTCGATGAATTATACTGTATTGGGATTCGTGATATTTTCGCTACCCCACCTTGCCTGGATCTGATAGCCCTGATATTATCTATCAGAGCCTGGATTTCGTACTCGCCCAAAAAATGCAAGTGGAAGGCAAGGGTTACAGTGGTCGCATGGCGGAACGGCGCCACCCCATACAGACAAACCCCTGTCTTTGATCCCTGCCCTGGCTCTGCTGCCTGCATTATCTGGTTCACTCTACACGAAGAATCCCGTACACGTAGCTGTCAGACCCACGACTCTACAAAATCTGTCTCCTTTCAGTAGGGCAACAAGAACTGCCTTCCTACAGACCTACACATGAATTACCCCGATAGAACCATGCTATTGCTGAACAGAGACGACAGCCGTTGTTCCGAGCAACCGAGATAACCGAAATGGGTCTGCCGTCTTCCCTCACTCGACGGCATTATACAGCTATACCTAGGTACATTCTCCTCTTGTAGGAGAGAGACGTGTCTCCTGTGAGGACAGCCAAACGTCTCTCCGCATTCCCCATTTGGGCTACCAAGAAAGATGCAAGCCTGTCTGCATCGGCTTATCAGGTGGGGGAGACGGTTTACCTAAACGTACATAGTCTCGCTCTCAGCTTTGGCTTGATACTAGTGGGGACGGGAAGTGACAAAATTTTCATTCTCGGTGACTTTGGCTCGATATGCAGGAGCATTACCTACATGTACGTATTTCCACCCCTGGCCTGTCCAGCGAGAAATGATCATCGAAAACACCCGTCATCGTATCAGTTGGCATTGAACAAGACAACCCATTTCCAGATCAGTGTATCTAAGACTCTCCTATTGCTGGATAAAGCACAATACTCCCTCTGTTGGCATTTCCTCGTTCCGCACCCCTTCGTGTTGGCTAGTAGTTTCCGGCGCAGATCGCTTTTTATTTCCTTTCGGCAATGTCTATTTTCTTTTCTTCCTCCCCCAGAGATCGGGGGAGGTGGTGCCTTGCAATTCAAGAGCATTGGGATTCTGACTCGACAACAGGCAGAGTTCTAGACATTTATGCACTCCACTCTATCTTGAACGGTGAAGATGAACTTGGAATGTAGAGAAGAGCCTTTGGTGACAGCGGAACACACAGTACCTACATATCGCGTTTGGTCGCTGAGGTCATCAGGTAAGAGAAACAAAATTGAATATTACACTATTACATGCTCTACCTTCAGAGCTCCTACCACCTGCGCCACTGACCTCTATGAGTGGCTACTCCGTATTCAGGTAAGGCCTCCCGTACTTCAGAGTCTGTGTGCGAGTAGAGTAGCAGTCTGTACCACTGCGCTGTTCGTGGATTCCCCTCGGCTAGCCCTCTCCAAGTGTTTTCTACCCTAAATGCGGATAATGCCGCGCCACCAACTAAAGATGGCGTTTTTTGCGGCTGAGCTTTCCCCTTTTCTCGCTGGTGCCGTCATAATCGATCGACAGTCTACGGGTCGATCCCTTCCCTAGTTCGTATAACCTTAAAAAATGGGCAGACGCAGAAGAATATGGATGGAGAGTAGCTACCAAGATGTAGATATGGCAGAAGACAGCAGCCAGAAGGACAGCCAGTCAGTCAGACCTCAGTCAGTCAGTCAGTCTACAGCCAGACAGCCAGTCATTGGGCTCGCATAAGCGAGTCTAATGCCCGTCGAGAGGTGCCACGGTCGCAATCGCAAGAATGGTCCTTGGCCGAAAAGAGTTAAAAACGTACTTGCATCAATTCACCGCCCAGGAATGTTCCTAAACTGGAGCTACCGTTCTTCTCCCGCTCCCTACTCGTGAATATCTTCATGCGAGCCTCTATACCAACGGTATCTACATGTACCTCTCTTCATTGTATGGTCCATCCCCTCCTATCCGTCTTCAGCCGTGATTCAGCTGCCCAGATTCGGTCAGTCACTATATCTCTAACTCTCTGGCTGTAGCCTTGCATGTGCGAAAGACATTCCCCGATTTAGTCACTTGCATCACCACCATATGACCACTGCTTCTTACACGACATCTCTTCACTTCCTCCCCCACGGGGCTGTAAGCACAGATTGAGTTTTCCTTACAGCCACACCTAAGTGCACTTTTGGCACTCGTAAATAGACACACTGGATACTAAATAACGACTGACTGACTGGTGTTGTTGGCACATCTACTATAGTAATTATAATTCGAGCACTTCCGGTCAGACGATCGCTCGCAGTGTCTCTCGAGATTGTGCATTTATCACTGTCGGCGAGCATCGTATCGTTGGCCAAAGGCATTGGCATTTGTCACTGTCGGCGAGCATGGCAGCTAGCTGGCGAATGGACTCGGGAAGCGTTGAAGGGTTCAACTGCGCAGGTGCTGACTCGCGTATCGCGCAGTTCAGCACCTATTACTATATTAAAACATGGGAAGGTTCATGGATACAGTTGTTTAACGGAGAGAACAGATATTGTTGTGCCCAGCGGGGACCAGTATTAACTTTCGCCGTAGTGGCCTTGGGCTGCTTGGGCTGGCGATCCCTGCTCGCTAGAGGCCTGCCATGTTCGCGAATGGCTGTAGAGTTCATCCTACTGTCTAAGGTACGAGGAGACTGGCGAAACCGATCACACAGGCGTACTACCGATCTTAGCAGTCAATGAAGGGTAAATTTGTTTCGCGGCCTTGTCGCCGCATCTTCAGATTTCAAATTCGATGGTCGACAACGCTTGCAGTACTAGAAAGTTCCGTTCTATGACTCCCAGCTAGGGAGTGGAATGTAGGTAGTAGTATTGTGGGAAGGTTCAAGTGAACCGCGCCAATAAGGCTAAAAATTTACTCAATCCTTGAATACATCATGTAATGTCTAGGCAGTACCGGCATAGAGAGATTGACTGTCATATGATAGTGGAGCTGAATGCATATTTCAACCCTAACCCTGGCTATATGAACCCTGGCACGGAGTTTGAATTGAAAGATAAAATGTCCGGATATGGATGGCACAATACGACAACGCTCTCTGATTCGGCAGATCCAGCCTGTAGAAATCTGGGGTAGCAACGGCAAAGCTATGGAAGACACTGCCGAACAGCGGTTTTGAAATCAGGGTATTTATTGCCTCGCACAACCGTCCGGGTATACCCAGCCAACAGGAGATTCAAGGCCTGTGATCAGCGGTAGCGACCAACGCTTTTGTATGATGTATAGTATGAAGTAAGTGTTAGTGATAGCTTAATGAGTACTTGTTTGTGCACTTGAATCTAACCATTCTCCTAGGAACGTGGCCGGAAGTTATCCTTTCTGCATGGATTCAATTAGATCTTTATAGGCCTCCGAGGCCATTCAGGGGTACCTTTGCTCATCTCATCATTCAAGAAAAGACTTACAGGCTTGGGGTTGCACACCCGAGGAGACCGATATTGCTATGCCTTATTCTGCCGAACGTTGCCTGCATGCAGGCACTGGGCCGCGGAACATCCGAGAAGGAGATTCGCCAAAGGTTGTTTCAGATCAACAAATCATATGCAATTATTAACTATTGCTTAGAATTCACTAGCCACCGTCTTGGATGGCATGAGGCGGGGTAGTTTTTCGGTAACAGTCTCGGGGGTGGTTGATCTTTTGCGCAAGTGTTAATAACCGACTCTATTTTCCAGCATTATAATCATTACTACTTTCGCACACTCTACGCATATGGACTAGAACATGACAATATTAGAGTACCTACACCCAATGACAAGGTCAATCTGAAAGAATACCTACCTAGCGTAGGTGTCCACTCTTTGGTCCCGTTTGAGTACTGTATTTCTTTGCTTGTCTTCCTAAGGCGGTATTGCGTGCGTGTGGTCTTCGGAGAGCTCTAGTAGTACCTGGAGGACGTAATACACCGGAATCATAAGTACTCTATCACGAGGCAGACAATGTTCCCCACGCCCGTATGGCATCAGGATCCAGGATCGAAGTCGTCCAATTCACCTACCTACCAGAGTGTGAAGAAAAGTAATCATGAAGGTTAACTCGATCTTCACGCGTGATTAATTCTCTTATTTGATGCTCGAGTCCATGTGAGGTATAATAAAATCTAGCAACAAATGGTCCAGGAACAAAAGTATTCTTTAAAGAGAATCAGATAAGATCACCTTATCTAGATCTTATCGTGGACTATGCAAATTTATCTCCCGCAACCATGGTGATAACGTGTGAATGCAAGATCACATGCTAACCTTACTTTGCCCCTGATTCATTCTGGTACCACGCGAAGCCACACATGTAGGAATAGACACAAGGACATATATCCCAATCGGTGACATACCCCGATTTCCAATGCCGTCGGGCAATTAAAGTACAAACAATTCCATTCGTCTCTACTGACTCACCTCTAGGTGTGAAAATGTAAATGTGACCCTTTTTACCAGTGAAGATCTCGAGTGCTTACTCCGAGTGGACCGATTGATCTGTAGGTTGTATAACACGTGCTATACCCACATGAGCCCATTAAGATTCATGACCGGGCAAGATTGGACAAATGATGATCTACTGTCAGTCGGGGGGGTCGATATAGGGCGGCGAATAACCATAGGCAATACTAGCCTACCTTTCTGAATTTTGGCCAAACGCTTTCTCTCGATGCATGTACCAGAGATGTTGGTAATACCGTCAGATCGGTATCAATCATCTGATCCGAACCAAACACTGGCCAATCTGCTGCTGGGGTTTTCTCTCTAAACCCAAAGGGGGCGGGTGACAATATCTGAAAAGAAAGTAGTAACTGGCTCTATTCCGGCCCGATGGGTACGATAGCCCGAACCTATAGGAAACCGCCGAGGATTGCAGGTGCGATATATGACATGATTGCTATATTTGTAGCCGCGGGGCCGTGCAACGGTAGATGTCTGCTGACCGTAATTTGGGTACAAATGAATATCATGTTTTCCCTTGTGACAGATGCTGTTCATCGTACTACGATTAAGATGTGAACATATGGGACTCGGTTTCCTAATTGACTACTCCAGTACCGTAGAGGGGGACGAGATATATTATCATACAACCCCGGTACACTAGAGTACCCAATAGCCCTGTAGTTATTATAGCTACTATATTGTTCTACGCTCGGAAGCTAGAATTTGACGGAAATCAAGGACGAGTGATGTTTCATGAGTCGGCTATCGCACCATGTCTTGGCGCGCAGTGTGCAGCCGTTTACGGATCGGACCGTATTTGGTATAGCGTTGGTGACAGTAACTATGGTGCGCACCACGATAAAGGTGACACTTTGGGACGACATTTCAAAAGCCTAAGGCTTTTCAACAAAAAATGTTAAAAAAAATGTAGAAAAATAGAACTCTAGTGCAAGAGCTAAATATTAGTTCGATTGTTGTCGTTTTTTAATATCTATTTTAGATAAAAAGCCTTAGGCTTTGAAAATGCGGATTTTTGTATGTAAAATGCGCCAGGCTTTCGCCGAGTGGAACAGGCTTGGCACAGCACTGCAACAACACCCAGAACGCCAGAAAGTGACGGAGTCGGCCCTGCTGCAAAACCACCAAATGAAAAGATATTAAATCAATCTTTTGGGAGGTGATGGCCAGTAATCTAAAGAATATATAGAAAATATAAAACAGATTTTTTCTTGAACACATGGTGATCATATTTGCGTTTTCATAGATCAAAAGGGTATAAGGCAGTATATATGTGATCTTAAAATTATTTGCAGAGTTTTATATTGTTGTGACAACTCTTATCCATCATCATCCCGAAGGGTAGAATAATATCTTGTGTGGTTGTGGCGCTAGAATTAATCTAGGGGGGGTGGTTGCCATGGAGGGGGGAAATGATTTGAGTGAAACATTATTGCCCCTTACTTTATTCGCTATAGCTCCACCAATATTCAAGCTATTGACAAGCCGTTTGGAGAGTGGCTTGCTGGATAGTATAGTTTGGACCATGAGGAATCGTGGAAAGTATAGCTATGCAGGTTCCTGCCAACGATTATGGGTCTTTGCAGGGTATTACTTCACTTTACCCCACCCCACTCTGGAGGCCCTATCTCCATGAGTTTTCAAGATATTATCAAGCCCTTTTCAGGGGAGCTATGTTACTACTGGACTCTTGATATTCCATCATTGTTTGAGCCGTACAATAAGCGTTGAGATTTCCGATTTTTAAAGTTGCATCATATGATATATTTTGTATATGGTGCCAGTGTAACCATTCATTATATCTACCCCGTTTTCAATTGAAGTTGTTACATACATTCGCCAAAATCTACTACACAATGCCTCGAGCAAAGGGTCTTCAGAAAAAAAACCATATGCAGCAGCTTGGAAAGCAGCCAAGGCGAAATCACAGGGTCATAATTGTTCCTGTCCCCGAATCGCCACTAACAGCAATAGAGGGAAAAGCAATGTTCCTGCCTCCGAATCGCCACTAACAGCAATAGAGGGAAAAAGCAATGTCCCTATCCGAATTTAATAGAAGGAGACAGTAAACTCCCCGATTCGCCACTAACAGCAATAGAGGGAAAAAGCAATGTTCCTGCCCCCGAATCGCCACTAACAGCAATAGAGGGAAAAAGCAATGTTCCTGCCCCCGAATCGCCACTAACAGCAATAGAGGGAAAAGCAATGTTCCTGTCCCCGAATCGCCACTAATAGCAATAGAGGGAAAAAGCAATGTCCCTATCCGAATTCAATAGAAGGAAAAAGTAAGGTCCCCGATTTGTTGCTTATATCAAGAAAAAATAATATTATCAAAATATTACTACTCAAACTACCAAGAAAAAGCAATCTAATACCTGGCCAATCAAAACCTTTAAATAACACATTGCATATCGGTATATCTATATACTTATTAGATATGTTTTAAAATATGTTCCTCTGTAATTTTCTCCCATTCCTGTAGTACAGCAACCTTGATCTCTGCCTTACACTTTGGCTTCAGCTTCTTCTGACTAAGTCTATTTTTGAAAATATTCCATATATTCTCAATATGATTCAGATCTGGAGATGATGGTGGTCAAGGGAGTGATGGTATTCTATAATAATTCCGGTACTCCTAAATGGTTTTAGTATAATGATTGTATTGGCTTTGAAGTTAATAGGAGATATTTACCTTTGTTAAAGTAACTCTATGAGCTGATGCGCCATCCTCCATAACCCAACTTAAAAGTGGATAACCATTACCTTGACTTTTCCAATACCAAATAGGCCAATTTACGGGACACAAAATGTGATTTACATATCTTTCTGCTGTGATGGTACCCTAGGCGCAATTTTTCCGTTCTCAAACTACAATTGATTTTTTACCCCATAACCCCAAAATACCTCCCTAAATCATTACAGAGTTTTCTTTTTTAAATTTCGGTATAAGACCGTTATCAAACCCCTCTTCCCCTTCTGCTCTGGTAATATAAATTTTTCAACGAACACCTTCAAGTTCAAACCAGATATAGCATTCGTCAGTCCAAATCACACATCTCCAATCATTCTTAGTCCAATACTGATGTGCAAGCGTGAACTGTATTCTTTTCTCACTTTTGATTTTATTCAGAAATTGCTTTTTCCGAGCAATCCTACCGTAGTACTAGTTGTCCTTTGCAAAAACTTTCCTCAAAGATTTTTCTGATATGGTTCCCCCAATCTTAAAAGTAACATAAGAAAAATGCCAAGTTTGGAATAACTTTTCAACCATGATTGATATTAAAAATCTGGAAAGAGCAAGGCTCAATACCATGATGAAGAAAAGTTTGTCTTTCTAGATTTTTAATATCAATCGTAGTTGAAAAGTTATTCGAAACTTGGCGTTTTACTCATGTTACCTTTAAGACTGGGGGAACCATAAAACTATTCTGAGGTTGCAGAGCTTTGCAATTTCTGACAGTTTTCGTGCAGTTCTCGGTGTTCAGGATTGCGGTAAATACTAGTCGACAGCGGGTAGAAGTATCAATTTTGGCTTTGCGACCGCATTTATTCTTTCTTTATGGAGTAGTAGGATGTAACAGGGGCCTATGGGCGTAGGGACTGTGGTGCCAAAGAATACAACCGAAGCGAGGACGTAACAATAGGTATTCGAGACTATGGACTATGAGGCGGCTCTGCCTGGTATGATCAACCAGTGGAGCCCTATGACGAGACGTAGAACAAAAGTAGTATTCGTAGAATAAATACAATAAGTTGCTTGAAGAGAAGAGGAAAGGAAGGAAAGCATGAAAAGGCACGAGACAACACCCCTTTATATATCCAGCCTCTAGTCCGTTGATGACTCATACCTCGCGTAATGGAAACCAAAAGAACATAACAGAAACCCCATTACAAATCCTAATTCAACTGCGCAATACCTTCCCTTCACGATCCAATCGATCATCCTAACCAACAGGTAATATTGCCGTTACAGATTACGCCCCTCTCCAAAGCCTACCTCCTGGTAGGCTTAGGTTTCGTGGATAACGCTCATGGAATCGTCGAACAATATCAGGCGAATGCTTAAGGTCCGATAACGGCTGCCACGAGGCATCGTCATATCCTGTGTACCGTACCAGGTACTCAAACTTTCCCTTGCGTTTCCTAGAATTCAAAATGTCTTCGACTTCCCATTCTTCCTCCCCTTCGATCTCAACTGGGGGTGGTGGTGATAGTTGT